ACAACACTCTTCAGGAATCACCGTTGTACTAAAGAACAAAATGAAAACAAAGGAAATAATATAGCAATCAAGGCAGGGTGACACGATACAATGACAGCACTGGAATATCGAGGTGCGATTTCTCACAAAAGTGTGCAGAAAACAAGGGTATACAAGTAAGAACTAAGCGTGACAAGTGTGTATCAGCAACAAAACAAAAAAGTGAGAACAAATGATAATAATAACACTAATAAACAAGAAGGTGACAAAACACATTTAGGCACAAGTGGCAACGTTGCCACACTACACAACAGAACATTATTTGAACAATTTTAGGGTAATAACACTATCTTTCTGGACACACAAATTCGGCTTATGAATGCGCTGACAAACAGCTTCCAAAACTTGTAACTGCAAAAGATAACCATGACGAGCACGGCACAAAACAGAAAAACAGGAATCAGAATAAGTACGACAACAGTCAGTACTAGAAACCAAATGATTGTATACTGAAGACTTGTTATTACGAGACGGACGCACACAATCTCGACTCACGCGCACACCCTCACACTCACTCTCACCCTCACTCAGCTCACCTTCTCCCTCACTGTCCGAATCAGAACCTGCTCCGTCATCCACCGCGGTTTGACTCTCCTCCTCACGTGCATCGTCCTGCGTCTCACCTTCACCACCCACATCGTCCTGTGAGACGCAGGACGATGCACGTGAGGAGGAGAGTCAAACCGCGGTGGATGACGGAGCAGGTTCTGATTCGGACAGTGAGGGAGAAGGTGAGCTGAGTGAGGGTGAGAGTGAGTGTGAGGGTGTGCGCGTGAGTCGAGATTGTGTGCGTCCGTCTCGTAATAACAAGTCTTCAGTATACAATCATTTGGTTTCTAGTACTGACTGTTGTCGTACTTATTCTGATTCCTGTTTTTCTGTTTTGTGCCGTGCTCGTCATGGTTATCTTTTGCAGTTACAAGTTTTGGAAGCTGTTTGTCAGCGCATTCATAAGCCGAATTTGTGTGTCCAGAAAGATAGTGTTATTACCCTAAAATTGTTCAAATAATGTTCTGTTGTGTAGTGTGGCAACGTTGCCACTTGTGCCTAAATGTGTTTTGTCACCTTCTTGTTTATTAGTGTTATTATTATCATTTGTAACTCGGATGTTGAGCCATAAATAAAGGAGATGTGTTAAAGCTAGGTGTCAGGACGTCGAATGTTTCAGTACTCTGTCAGTTTTGTGCCTAGTTATTGCACTTTCTGACTGTATAATTATAGTATCATGTTACAGTGATGGAGAGTTACTCTTAACTCGTATCCATATGTCTTTTTTCTCTTCCACATTATCATTTGTTCTCACTTTTTTGTTTTGTTGCTGATACACACTTGTCACGCTTAGTTCTTACTTGTATACCCTTGTTTTCTGCACACTTTTGTGAGAAATCGCACCTCGATATTCCAGTGCTGTCATTGTATCGTGTCACCCTGCCTTGATTGCTATATTATTTCCTTTGTTTTCATTTTGTTCTTTAGTACAACGGTGATTCCTGAAGAGTGTTGTACGAAAACTTGTTCGAATCATCTTTTTTTTGTTCCATCGCCCTTTTTCTTCTTACATGTATTTTTCCTTACCCTTTAGGTTGTTTCTTGCATCGTCTCCATCGCTTACATTGTTAATAAAGTAGTCCACATGTCGCTTCAGCTCGTCCTACTTATTGCCATATTGAAATTATTGTCTCCTCGTCGAATTTTTATTATTATAATAATAGTTTTAGAATTGCGATCAACAGAACGAGCTGAACCGACATTTTCACAAAGGCTTTATTGTATTCAAAAAACGAGTGGATACGAAGGCAGTGAAGAACATGGAAGAAAGAAAAAATGTGATATGGAAGAAATGATGAACAAAAAATTGTACTTCGAACTAGTTTTCGCACAACACTCCTCAGGAAGCTACGTTGTACTAATGAAAAACAATCCAGAAAGATACTAATAAAGAGAAATGGAGTGAGAAGAAACAACACCTATGAAAATGATAATCCTAGCACTAAGGTAATAACAGGAAAAACTGCGAAAGCACTTAACGAACTTGTGAGGACTACTAGTATACTGTGACACAAGATATGACACCATGGCCAACCAGAACCAAACAGTGAGAACAAGTTGCTACTAAAACAATTTCAAACGAATAATGCTGTCCTTCTGGACACACAGATTAGGCTTATGAATACGTTGACAAACGGCTTCTAACACACTCAACTGCAACTTATAACCATGACGAGCACGGCACAAAACAGAAAAAGAAGAATCAGAATAAACCTTACAGCAATCAGGACGAGATGCAAGATGCTTATACACTGATGACTTCCTACTAGAAAACACACGCTCGCACCCACTCTTACTCACACGATCATTCTCGCTCTCACACTCACCGGAATCACTGGACTCACTGGCCGAATCCTCCTCAACGACTTCCTGCCTCGGGGCAATCAGGTCCCGTCTCCTCCCATCCCTCGTCTCACGTTCCTGTTGTGTATTCCGTTGGCTCGGTACTTCCGTACTGAAATAGGTCATGGTGTAATTAGCAGTTGTTCTTCTGGGTCTCGTTGATATTGAGGTAGGTATTGTTGTCGTCTCTGCCGGTGATGCAGCAAGCGATGCTGATGCAAACGTGTCTGCATGCAACACACGTGGCGTCGCCAAAGCCACATCCACCTCCGCTGGTGGAGGGAGTGACTTGGTCATGGCCACGGGAGCCAATGGTGGACTTGTCGAGTGAGACGCTAGGTCCTGTGTTCGCGGAGGTAGTGGTTGTTTACGGGGTCTTCCCCGCGTGGGACGCTCCAGTTGTGCGCTGGGATAATGTGTAAAGGAGTGTGTTGCTTGATGCGTTCGCTCAGGTGCTGAACAGTCCTACCAACATTTTTTGTTCATCATTTCTTCCATATCACATTTTTTCTTTCTTCCATGTTCTTCACTGCCTTCGTATCCACTCGTTTTTTGAATACAATAAAGCCTTTGTGAAAATGTCGGTTCAGCTCGTTCTGTTGATCGCAATTCTAAAACTATTGTCGCCTCGACGCCTATTATAATAATAATAATTATTATTATGTGGAAGAGAAAAGGACATATGGATACGAGTTAAGAGTAACTCTCCATCACTGTAACATGATACTATATACAGTCAGAAAGTGCAATAACTAGGCACAAAACTGACAGAGTACTGAAACATTCGACGTCCTGACACCTAGCTTCAACACATCTCCGTAGCGCTAGCCGACAGCCTTCCAACTTGGAAGTATTCTGTCAGTTTTGTGCCTAGTTATTGCACTTTCTGACTGTATATAGTATCATGTTACAGTGATGGAGAGTTACTCTTAACTCGTATCCATATGTCCTTTTCTCTTCCACATTTATTTATGGCTCAACATCCGAGTTTCAAATTATTATTATAATAATAATTAATGCAATTAGGAGTATAATCGATGCAGACATGGCCAGACAACAACGAGTTCATGGAATTTGTAAGGATTTTTATGTTATTCAAAATCGATTTTCGTGTTCCGCTCATCAGTGAATAGTATCGGAACTGAGGGTACTGTGTACAACAATAGAACATTTTATAACAGCATAATTAATTAAAAGTGTGAACAACAAAGGAAGTGCTACAGCATTACATAATAGGATAATCACTTTTCTGTTTTGTGCCGTGCAAGTTATGTTAAGCAGTTGAAGGTTCTGGAAGCTGTATGTATTCGTGTGCATAATCCTGTTCTTTGTAAACAAAAGAAGCATGTAGTCGCGCTAAAGTTGTTCTCGTAGCTGGTTATCAGATGTAAATGTTGTGTCATGTTGCACTGTATCACCTCTTGCTTTGTGGCTGCACTCAGTTATATACGTTAGCACTATGTTTGACACCTATTATGTAATGCTGTAGCACTTCCTTTGTTGTTCACACTTTTAATTAATTATGCTGTTATAAAATGTTCTATTGTTGTACACAGTACCCTCAGTTCCGATACTATTCACTGATGAGCGGAACACGAAAATCGATTTTGAATAACATAAAAATCCTTACAAATTCCATGAACTCGTTGTTGTCTGGCCATGTCTGCATCGATTATACTCCTAATTGCATTAATAAAATTGCTTTCTCCACGCCGACTCTTTAAATAATAATAATTATTATTATTATCACCCTTGCTGAGGGATTAGTGTGGCATCAGCTCGGAGTGCATTCCTGGCTAAGTGACTGGCATCATGTGGCATGTATGCTTGTACGCGCCTGATACGCGCTGAAAATTCCAACATGTTGGAATTTCCATTTCGGCGCGTTTCCGTACGCATATGGCGCCCCAAAAGCCAGCAAAAATGTATTATTATGCACAAACGCGTGGTTTCACGCGTACACGCGCGGACACAGCTTACATACATAATCATTGCGACCACAACAATAGAAAGGCTGACAGGATCGCTTTTCTAATGACTATGACTGTATACCGTACATCATTATAAAATATTATTTTTGCCTTGCACACAGGAAACGCGACATGCGCTAGCTGTAGAGCGCGTATATCTACACTACAATATGAATTACAGTGAAAGCTGGTTAGGAAGAACCGACTGATAAGACAACATGTTTGCTTAAGAAGAACTAGTATTCGTAACTGCATTGGATAAATCACTGTGTTTTCAGTGGGTATACCATACGGATAAGAAGAACTCCCGTTATTGCAAACAAATATCATCGGTCCCTTGGTGTTCGTCCCAAAGGGGTTTGACTGTATGTACAAGATCTGGTAGACTAGTTTCCTGCTCCGTGCTTGTCTTCGTATCGCTCTTGCTCGAATACACCACAGTTCCTGACGTTCACAGCAGCTTATTTCTCTTTTTGTCTCCATTGCCAACTGGCGTAGCTACCATAATTTTCCCTTTCTTCAGTTACTTCTTTTAGAGCGACTTCCTCGCTTGTGAAACAGGCTCAGAACTTGCCCAGAAGCCTCCGGTCCCCCAAAGCGCTAGTACCGGTAGTACCGTACTGGCAATATAATGTTGCCGCGTAACGCGTAACGCCGGGTGCGGCGTAACGCGCGACCAGGCTAGTGTGACAAATTTTCGTTGCGTTCGTATCGCGCGTCCGGCGGGGTGCGGCGATCTTTTCATTGCAGTGCAAGGCTGAAAACTGTGAAAGCACGTGTACCGCGTGGTGAAAAGTTCAAAACTGGACGCAGCATGCAGGAAGTCCTGCAAAAAAAGGACTGCGGCAATATAGAAACCTGTGTAACGGCTCCTGTGCGACTTTGCATGTAACGCCCTGCGTGCGGTAAACATGTGCCAATGTAACGCTTCATGGCCTCACTGCGACCATTATTGCCAGTACGGTAGTAATGTGAAAACTCTACGAACTAAAAGACGACATTAATTTTTGTGAAACGACTAATACTGCTTGTTCGAGCTCAGCAGCTGTCACTGCAGTGACTATTGTCAGTATTGAGTATTGGCGTTTGGAGAACACTGCATAATTAAAATACTTCCTGAAGCGGAACCGACGTCGCTTCTCCAGGCAGGCAGGCTAGCCGAGTTAGCAGCTCGTCTCTCAAAGCTAGTTCAGCTACTGATGTGTGCGCTAGCAGTTCTGTTTATCTAGCGTCGTAGTGAGCGTGTGCCTGACCTCTGCTAGCTCTGGCTCTGCTGCCGTGCTGGACCCGCTACGCCCGTCGCCTCGTGCATCACCAGACGGGTCATTTCCAGGCAATCCGGACTAGTCAAATTAATTTATTTGCCGTCCTAGCATTATTGCATTATTATTATTATTAATATTACTACAGTATCAAACAAGCCGCCCGATAACGCTAACTAGCGGTGGATAGTCATACTATCGTATAGTTGTCGTCAGCCGGCGTTGAGGATCCTGCTTGCAGCGTGAGCGGGCTGTACTGTCTGTACTGTCTGTGGTCACTTGTACGACGTGTGTACCTATCAGCAGCGTACTGTCTAGACCTGGTGCCAGTGGAGGCTGGTGCAATCAGTGTACATGCTAGTGTTCATACAGAACACAGAGTGCCAGAGCCGCAGTGCCAGAGCCGTGTCTGGAAGCTACCAGCGGGCCCGTTCGGAGTGTCCGTAATGAGAAGACGACACAGCTCTGGTTGGTGACGCAACTCGTTAACAGCGCATAGTTCCCACAGTATTAAACTGGGCATAGGTCCCGTGCCAAATATGTCGGCACGGCCCAAGAAATACGACCACAAGTTCAAAGTGCACCTTCTGGGTGATCAAGGTACGACGATCATTCAGTGTCTTTCATGTTTTAACATTTTATTTAGAGTACGGGAAAGCGTTGCAACAACCGTCGCGGCAAAAGAGTTAACTTGAGCTCTAATTGTTTCGGCCCATTATGCGACCGTCGCGCGAAGCGTTCCCGTACACACACTCGTGTATACATCATGACTATATGATGTAATGCACGCTAGCCCACGTGAGCTAGATACATGCTATATCCAACAGGAAAACATTTTCCAGCCCAGCCCCTCCCCTGCCAAACTCTTTGTCACACATTCTATTCTTCCACACACAGGTGAGTTGTGCAGTGATTCTAACCCGATGTTCACCGCACAATCATCTTTCCTCTCATTGTGCTCTTCTCGTGTGTGTGCTTGCATGCATGGCTATCCCCCCTGCTGTTGTCATGGTGACAGCGGTTGGCAAGACGAGTCTGCTGCTCCGCTATGCCGAGGAGCGGTTCTACAGTAAGTGGTGTACTGTACTGTCGGGCGCCGAAGAGCCAAGAGGCTGGACTCTTTCATCACCAAGCACAGCATACCAATGACACACACACACACTCAACTCTGCATAGACTGTAATAATTATACTGTCGCGGACATGGAAATCCAGTCCAATGGCCGGGGCCGGTGCCCTCAGCGCGTACAGAACGTTGCATGCAGTGCACATATTGATCCAATGCGACCAGCGCGCTGCAGCGCATAAATCCACATGTGCTTACCCACGGCTGCATGGCCAGCGCCCTGGGGCCACTATACGTGCGACCGGAGTTCCATGTCCATGATAGTACGATAGTAAGAACGGTCTAGGCTAGGAGGCTGACCCCCCCCCCCCCCCCTCTTCGGCGACTCACAATACTGTATTAATATGTGTCATTACAGGGTGTTTCAGGGGAAGTGGCGTAATGGCCTGAAATCAAAACGTCACTGCTCGTAGTCTTCTGGGTGCTGAGTCGAGTGGTCTGGTGCGAAGAAGCCGAGACACTCCCTTTGTCCTCTATTTCCAATCGAACTCGCATGCTTCCCCGAAACTGGTTTGATTGGTCCCTACTACAGGGCTGGCAACTGAAATCCGACCCCTGAGCGGTGCGCTCACATCGCAAAGGCCCAACACAGGATGGTACCACTACGAAGTAGAGACCGCTAGAATGTGAACGCACCATCGCTCCGGGGGTTGGATTTCAGTTGCCAGCAGTGTATGTAGTACGGGTGTGCTCGGTGAAATGCGACCCAGAGTGCACATGTTGCACGGCCCTTGACGCCCAGGAAGTGGCACGAATACGGCTGGACGTGTAGTATGCATGTACAAACATTAACGCAGTGATGTAATCGGAATTGGTTCAGGACACCAGTGTTGCACTTCGGGTCGAATCACTGAGCGCAGCCGTACTAGGGATTTGTGTGTCTGGAACATTTTACAGAAAGCATCTTTTCATTCTTTTAAAAAGAAGCGCTTTAAAAAATGATGTTCTGTAGTGGAAGACGTACAGATCCGTGGACTGGCTACGGGGATGTCTAATAGTTCACTGAGCACAAACCTAAATCTAGTCGGAGACAGGAAGAGAATTTTGAGAAGTTGGTACTGTGTTTTCCGGTGTATAAGCCGCACTTTAAACACCCCCAAAAAAGTCGGTGCGGCTTGCACTACGATAATCAGAATAGCGGCGGTAGATGGGGTAGGTGTCGGTATTTCGTGACAAAAATCTGGGTGCGGCTTATACTCCAATGTGGCTTACAGTCGACTTGGCCAATAACGACTGCGGATATAACGACAATTCGCGAATAACGGCCGAATTTCTATGCCCAGAGCAAAGTTCCATCTAACTGTATATATTTAACTTCGGATAAAACAACTATCTTCGTTTGATCCTAGAGGGTGGTGGCGTTCCCACGGCGGATGCGGAAAACTCGGCTTCCAGCCGAGTCTCACGCGAACCGTGAAATTTATTTATTATTTATTATTTATTTAAAACGACTATCTGAATAACGACAATTCGCGAATAGCGACATGATTAGTGCCAGAGGTCAAATTCTCTGCTCGAATAACCACTTTCTGCGCTTTTGACAGCTATTTCAAGTACCTGTCAGTCAAGTACATGTACCTGTCATGCAGAAGTACTAGAACCCTTGGCAAAGGATAAAGGCATACACATGCAAGAAGATGCAGCCAAGGGGAGGGGGGGGGGGGGGGGGGGGGGTGCTTGTTTTTTTGTTTTTTGTTTTTTTGTTGCTTCAAAAGTTAATAGTTGGAGTTACCAGCACACCGGTGCACCTACATGTACATGAAGTGGTACATGATTGTACAGTAATCATCATACATTGTTGTACAGTAATCATCATACATGATTGTACAGTAATCATCATACATTGTTGTACAGTAATCATCATACATTGTTGTACAGTAATCATCATACATTGTTGTACAGTAATCATCATACATTGTTGTACAGTAATCATCATACATTGTTGTCTACCATACACTAAAAGGTTCCAAGAACTGAGACCGACCAGTATTTATTTACATGGCACGAACGATTACAGAGGATGCAAGATAGAAAAGGAGACGAAAGAAATTACATGACTGTGTTGAAGCAAGAGAGAGGAAGAACTGCCTAGAAACCGGGAAGACAAACTGTCAAAAGCACTAGCACCAAAATGTAGCCAGATCGATACTCGATCGCGCCCGAGTACAGTTCGTACAGTCCGAGTAGCCAAATTAGTACCTCACGACGTCACTAAACTAAACACAAAAAATACGCCGTGCGTGCACTCAAGAAATTCAAACTACGAGTGCGAAGCGAAATAAAGGAACGTAACTACGTCGTCCAATGGTGGAGCAGAGCAGTCTACTGACGAATCCAACATGGATGCTACAAATCTGGGCAAATGCCTAACACCACGATCAAGGATAATGCACAGCAAGTTTACGTAGACACAGGTAAGACAGGTCAAATACGAATCAATAAATTCAATGCTCAAGAAAGAATTCAAACAAATCAAGCATAGAATAGCCAAGCACAGAAGCACCTAGCCAGGGAATCAAGTAGCAGTTACAGTCATGACGAGATCTGACACACATTCCCTGAAGACCTTTCCCATGACAACGCCATTCACAACATACATGTACATGTACATGTGCATGTCCCTGTAAATGGCTCCAAAGGCTTATTTTTCAATTATTTATTTCCCTTGCATATTGACTTTATACTTCCTTTCAATTGCAATATGAAAATTGAGTACACATTGAGATAGAGCAAGAAAATAGCTTCATTTGATATGCATGTCATACTATGCAAAATATGGGTTCACATACATTCAAATGGGACTTCGGTTATAAGGACACTTTGCGAATAAGGGCACTTTGCGGATAAGGACACTTTTCTGATGCCCCGCCGAGTGTCGTTATTCGCAAAGTTGACTGTATACTCCAGTGCAGCTTATACTCCAGTGTGTCTAAGGCTGCGTTTACACGGAGACGAAATGAAACGAAACGAAACAGAACGAAAATGGGCTGGCCTCGAACCGTTTTCAAACCGTTTACACGAGAACGGCAAATCGTTTTGAACCGTTTACACGAAAACGGAAAACGGGCGATCAGGCTGGAGTTTGCACGTGCTGGCTTGGCGAAAGGGCGGGAAGTAACACGTTAGTTGGAGTTGGTACGTGCTGGTGGTCGCAAGGGTTGGGTATTTCCCGCGAAATATACTCCAGCACGGAATGGTTTCCATGACCGCGCTCCGTTTCCCATCGTTTTCACTGTTTTCACCGTTTACACGAGAACGAAAACGTTTTGAAAACGTTTTGAAAACATTTCAAAACACTTTGAAGTGCGTTTCCGTTTCGTTCCGTTTAGGTATCGTTTTCGGGCGTTGTCGTGTAAACAATAGTAGTAAACACAACGATTTCGTTCCGTTTAGGTCGTATTTCGTTGTCGTGTAAACACAAATCGCTTTCAATCGTTGTCGTGTAAACGCAGCCTTATACTCCAGTGTGGCTTATACTCCAGTGTGACTTATACTCCAGTGTGACTTATACTCCAGTGTGGCTTATACTCCAGTGTGGCTTATACTCTAGTGTGACTTATACTCCAGTGTGGCTTATACTCTGGACAATACGGTACGTGTGTATGTGGATTGGTGGTTGTCATTGTTTGCTTCAGCAAAACAAATATCTGTTGTTCTTGTTCCTGTGTAGGAACTTACGATCCAACTCTAAATATTGATATCAAGTACCGTGATGTGGAATACCAGGGGAAACGTATCCGCGTTGAACTCTGGGACACGATTGGACAGGAGAGGTTTCGTTCTACCATTAGCGCGCGAGTCCACTGTGCTGCGTAGCTAGAGAGGGAGACAGAGAGAGAGAGAGTGTGTGTGTGTATGAGTGTGTGTCAGCCGGTTTCGCTCGCGCGGAAGGACATTCAGTGAGCTGACGACCAGAGCGGGTAATTTGTTGCCGTCACCGTCTTCTTGCATCCTTTCCGCATCCTCCGCAGTGGCGTGGCGAGCCCTCGGATCAATCCCCAGCCTGAAACAATGCAGTGGCGTCCTGCAAAGCAGGTGGCTTCCTGGATGAGAAAGGAAACAGGTCACACTCGCAGCAACTTATTCCTGCGCGGTGTATCGCTGGAATTGTGAATTTGTCGTGTTGTTTGGACCTCAGTGACCAGTCGTCATGCGGCGATGGTGTAGTGATGTTAGCTTGCGGTGCACACTCCTCGTCATTTCGTGAAAGTACGTCTTTTGGAGCCCTTGTGGGACGTTCGGTGCCCACCCTCCAGCTCAAGATTGTGCTTTCCTGGTTCATGAAGGCCGAAGCAGTACGCGTACAGATGTTATTGTTGAACAGAACATCATGTTCACATTAATTTTGTTCCTTTTTTCAGTCGTTGCATGGTATAGTGGACCTACAGCAGACGGTTCATCTGGTTTGTGATATTTCTTTCCTCTGTTTGTGAGTCCTTTTCCATCAATATGGCAGCTTGTTTTGGTTTCCTTTTTTTCAATTCATTTTGCTGTACTTCCTGTTTTGTTTTGCGCTACTGCCCCTCACCTTGCGCCCAGTTCTCTGAGTGGAGGGCGGTGTGACCCCACGGGGTAGCTGATTGATAGTAGTGTGTGTGTGTGTGTCAGCTAGTTCGGTTGGGTACGCTAATGCCAGATAGTGTTGGGTCTGTTGGCAACAGGCTCGGCTGCTTGAAGGTGTAATGTTGTACCTGCCACCTTTGTTGGTTTCAGGTTCATATACTTTCTATTTGAAGTATACATACCTGTTAACCATGGACTGCTTCTGGCTGATTAACTCTTGTGTAATCAATGGTGCTAGTGAAGCTTATATCAGATCCACTCTGATTTAGCCACCCACACTAGTACCAAGTATCACCTTCACTGGGGGCAGGGGTACCTGCAGTTGGATCCCAGGGCGGATACTCTGATGCCGTCAATCCCTTTTCTTGCACCTTGTCCTCACCCACTTACTGAGATGTGGTGAGTCCATAAGTGGGATCATTTCGAATCCACCCATGGTTTGGTGATTTCAGGGGGTGTCGGTCGTTGGGTGGTTCAATAGCCAATTGAGTTATCTTTCCAAGATTCCTTTTGAGTCTCTCTCCCCTCTCCCGGGGAGACCCACGTGACCAGTTTTGGCAGTGAGCAAGTACTGCGTGTGTCTGTGCGTGTGTGTGTGTGTGTGTGTGTCTGTGTGTGTGTGCGTGTGTGCCAGGCTGAATAGTGGCGGTCAATTCTTCAGCCTTGCAAGTTGTTGAATGGTGCAATCCCAGCACAAGCTGCTATGGCTTCTGCTGTAGCATCGCTATCATCGCCTTCGGCGATGGGCGTCCAATGGTCCAATGGTGTGTGTGTGTGTGTGTGTGTGCGTGTGCGTGCGTGCGCGTGTGTGTGTGGGCGGGTGGGCGTGTACATGTCAGTTCCTCGTGCAAGTTCAAATTTACCTGATCTTGTGTGTTTGGACCGGAACACTGACATCTCGGATACTTCCTGTCTGCTTTGTGCTTCTGTCTGTTCACGTGCATTGTGCACACAACAGAACTCTGAAGGACATTGACGGCGTTGTGCTTGTGTATGATGTCATGGACTCGGAGAGCCTTGTCTCCTTGGGTCAGTGGATTGCAGACGTGGAAAGACGCTGCGGAGACGTGGGAAGAGTTATGGGTAAGAGCAGACATGTATCCCCCCCCCCCCCTCCACACACACGCCACACGCGCGCGCGCGCGCGCACACACGCACACACACACACACACCAGACCCAGGTTGTGGCCTGGTTCTCATGCTAATATATGGCGTGACTGTGTGTGCCTCTCCCTGTCTGTTGACCGTGTTCAGGGGTGTCGGAAGGTAATTTTGTGTGGTACGATCAGCCATCTGAAGTACAATTTAAAACTTACTCGTGGGGGAGGGATGGCTGAGCCGAACAGTTTGGAAATTTAGAGCCCAAATCAGTGTACTTTATTGAAAATTTGATGCTGGCACAATCTAAAAGTCACCACTAATAATAATAATTATTAGACTTTGAAGTGAAGCCAACCGCAAGAAAGAAAGAGAAAGTTCAAAGGAAGTAGTTGTGCGATGTCAGGCTCAGCGCGCACAAATCTATGCGCTGGCAGTGTGAGTGCAGTGCGCATGGCACTGATGCAGCGATGCGCGGCAAATGTAAACATGGCAGTGTGGTCAGTGGATGCTAACACACACTAACTACATTGCTGTGACATTAGCACCATATCCCTCACACACTCATACTCAGCGCAAGGCAACAAGGAAATTGTTTTGGAGGTAGTGTGCTGCTTCGAGTAACTGGTCTTGTAATGCAAAAGCTCGCAGAGCTGGAAAGCAATGCCAGGCCACTGGCAGCAACTGGCTCACGAGGAGCCGCAATAAACCCACATTGTGCCACAATGGGGTTGCAAGGCAAAGCCCATGCAATTGGCAACAACTGGCTCGTGATGAGCTGCAACTAGCGAAGCAAGTGACCAGTTAGGAGCGATAGAGCTCCACAAAGCAGCAACACTATCCCCGAACAACTCCCAGCATTAAGAAATTATCGAGCAGTGACATTCCTATGCTAGGACTTCAGGGATGGAACCTAAAACTGTCCGTGCAAAGAATCAGATAAGGTCACTCACTGAGGCAAGCTGAGCCGAGGTCTTGGACTTGGTCTCCGTCGGAATGCGCATATAGCGTAGACACACATCGCTATGCCACCTGCCGGCAGAACGAATCAGCGAATCGGGTATCTCTGCCATGGCGGCGGTAGTAGCGGCGCCAATTCGGAATGAGTGTCCCGAGTAGAGTTCGATGTTTGGCACCGCAGCCCTTACAAGCAGCAAGCGCACAGTACTGGTAAAAATAACTCTGGATAGCGGCATGCCCTTGGCAAGTACATACAGAGGAGTGGATGCGTTTCGACTGCCAATCATTGCCAGGTAGCGTAGCATAGCATACACAGGGCAGTAAAGGCGACCGGCCGGTCCAATGACAATGTGAACTCCCTTTCCAAATTGGTCTGTCTTTGATCTCTTTAGCAGGATGGTCATGCTGCCCGACTCAACTCTGATGCACTCTCTTGTAAGGCCCTCTGTAAATTCGGAGCACCTTAGGAAACCAAAGAATGCCAACATCACAGCAGACTTGAAGAGGACTCGGCCATGCTCGGCCAACACAGGGAGGTGATTTACAGGCATCAACTAGTTTCCTTAGTGGCACAGTTATAGGCAATCTAGGCTTTACTGTCTCGGTCCCATGGCACCGTTGAACACCCTTCAACACTCTCTTGAGAAGCCAGGTCTCGATCAGGGGATCCTGTTCAATGTGTGCATTTCGTACAGCTTGCACATAAACAGATATCGTGCAAGGGCGGACAGAGCGAGCAAGAAAAGCACAAAAGCAGCTGAGGGTAAGATGAGAAGCTGGGTAAGGTTGCAGATTGCAAAGGGAGCAGAAACTGACAAAACGACGCTCACCGGCAGAGTAGGTGCGTCTGGTATAAGCAGCAATTGCACAGGCAGCGTACTTAGTGACTTCGCTCACAAGACTGCTGGAAGACGGGCATGGTCTGGACTCGGCCGGGCTAACGGAGCATGGCGACGAAATTCCTGCATAAGAAAACGAGAAAGGCAATCTGCAATGACATTCTTGGAGCCAACAATGTGCACAGCGCTAACATGAAAGTTGAACTCATAGCAAACGAAGAACAGTTCGCGTAGCAACTTCATCACAGCTGGGGCTTTGCATGTGCCCGAACAGATGCAGTCCACTACTGCCGAGTTGTTGCAGTGTACCCGAATCCGAAGCTTAGCCCATTCGTCGCCCCATGTGGCGCAGGCTGCTACAAGGGCAAACAGCTCCTTCCATTCGATAGACTGCAGCATCTGGGCGCTGTTCCATGAACCTTGAATCCACTTCCTGTTGTTGTAAGCACCCCAGCCGTGAGTGCCACTTGCATCTGTGTATAGCTGGAGATCTGGTGATGGGGTCCAGTTAGGATGCAAGAAGAAGGATTTCCCGTCCCACTCACTTAGTAGCCTCGTCCACCATAGCAGGTCATCCACGCATTCTTGGGTCAAAGTTATTGAGTAGTGTGGTTGCTGAAACCGTGAGCAGACGGACCACAGACGACGCATGAAGGTACGGCCTGGAGTGATGACATGGGCAGCAAACGAGAGCTTACCCAATAGGGACTCGAGTTGGCGTTGGGATATCTTCCGACTGTTGATCGTGCTGGCCAATAGCGATCGGAGGTCGGCAAGCTTGTCCATGGGGAGCCTGGCCTCGAGCCGCTCGCAGTCCAGAATAATGCCGAGGAACGTCAGTGATCTCGCGGGACCTTCCACCTTTGCTGGCGCTAGCGGCACGCCCAAATAAATGAAGGCCCGCAGCAGGATGGCTAGTTGACGCTGGGCGACAGTATGGCCAGTTGTGACGTTTAGAAAGTCGTCCAAGTAGTGGAATAGGTCGGCAATGGAGAAATGGTTCCGGATAATCCACTCTATGGCTGAGGCAACGGAATCGAACATGGCTGGGCTGGAACGAAGCCCAAACGGTAGCAACCGCTCATAATAGTAGCTGCCTTGCCAGAATATGCCGAGTAGCGAGTGGTCTTAGAACTGGGATTTGCCGGAATGCTCTTTTGATGTCCAGCTTTGCGAGGTACACCGGCTGAAGTGAGGACATAATAGACTCGATTGCATCGTCAATACTGATGTAGTGCAGGGAAAACTGGTCAACTGGAACTCCGTCATTCACACTATTACCGGCGCGGCTAGATCATACGAAGCTTGCCATCCTTCTTCGGCACCGCGCCGGCACCAGAACAGTGCATGAAGGTGAACGGGGCTTCACTAAAAGGACCAGCAGTTTCGCCACGTTGGCAAGAAGCATAAAGCTGGTCAGAAATGAAGGAGGCACAAGCAGCAGAAGATGGCAGATTAGCAGACTGGACAGAAACGTCACGTGAAGCAGTGAAACCTATGCAAAAGCCGTAGCGCAGCCCATTTAGCACATAGGAGGAAGCAAATTCGTTATCGGGGTGATGACACAATCAGGGCCGGAGGAAGGAGTTCGGGAGTGGTCCGGCCAACCTTTGAGGGGGGTCCGGGGGACGTCCCCCGGGAGAAATATTTAAAATTTACGTGAAATAGAGCGAATTTGGGCATCTCTAAGGCTCCAGAAAATGCAGAAAATCATAGTAAAAGAACACAAACACAACTTTTTTTATCCATATCAGCAAGAGTCCATAAACAGTTGATGCATTCTTGATATCAGCCATACAGTGCCGGTCACGGAGTCCTGAGCTACTTCGAAGCACATCACACGTCAGCAGTACAGTCGAGTCATGTACCTCTGGATTTTTTTTACACCGGTTTTGCACGAATCACATGGACCATCCAGCTGGGAAAGTGGTCCGGCCATGGCCGGACCAGCCTGACCGGTTCCGCCGGCCCTGACAATAGAAGCTGAAAACGAGAGACATGCAAAGGGGTATGTACAGAGGAATTATTAATGTGAGGAGGAAGAAGATTATGTACACGTGCAACAATTATTGGTTGCTCAGGCTGGGATTGCAATCCCGTCGAACTACTGGGCTGGTCGCTGACCTTTGCTGGAACACTTGCTGCGGGGGTGGTCCTTGCCACAGCGGTTGCAGATGTGGGCGAACCGGCAATTTGACCAGCTACACTTGCCAAGGTTGAAGTTTCGGCAGATGACGGCACCTGCGTTGTTGCGGGTGAGCAGTGACGATGATGTTGTTTGAGCTTGGTGTGCATGTTTGGGACGAAAAGGACACATGCTGCTTGCAGCCGCTGGGTGGACAAGGCTGCACGACTGACATCTATGCCTGGCCTTGCCTGTGATGCACAGCTGCCACGTATTTATGTCAATCGTGTCAGAGCGCTTGCCTGGCTGTGAAGCGATAAGCCTTAAATTGCTGGTCATACATAAGCCAAGTCTCTGCAAAATACTGCCTGTTGGCCGCCAAGATCATGCACTGGTATGACAGCAGTTCTGCTGTGCGGTGGGGTGCATTGCTGATCACAACATGAATATACAATGACCATGCTTCTAACCAAGTGGCGATATCGTGCACGCGTCTACGAACTGGGCGAGTGGTGTTCACCTCTACGACTTCCAGTGCACCCCCGGATGAACTGGATCTAAGCTCAAACGACTTATTGCTATCAACTGCCCCCAAGATCTCAGGCAACAATTGGTCGAAGTCCACAAACTCACCTCGCAATAACCTATCCTGCACCGACTTTGGGACGTGCAGATATCCAGCGTGAGGCGGTGTGGAGCACGCAGCACTCACGCCAATGTCGGCTGACGCAGATGGCGGCGCTGGTGCTGTACTTGGCTGCGACAGAAGAGAGGCTCCAACCTCGTCTGTGATGGCAGAACGAACTTCAGCCCGAATAAGTTCGTGAATACCAGTCGGATCCAAGGTGACGGGGGGCTCGGCGAGCACCTCGCACGTATCCACAGTGGGTCTTGTCGAATAATTATGTAAAACTTAGTTCAGTTTCGTTGTGTGTGGCGGGTCGGATGGGCAGGGAGGCTGGGCCCCTGACGCCTGGACAACATGTGTGCAGTGGCGTAGCTCGGGCAATGTTTGTATGGATACTAGGTATCTTTGGCCAACCAAGGCTAGATGTATTTGAGGTCCTTGATACAGATAACATATATTATTCCACTAGAGGCTAGGCGAAATATCTGGCAGTTGCAATATACAATACAGAGGCGTGTAATTGATAGCAAAAGTAACAAGTTAGTACACTGTTTCAATATACAGTTGTGGCAAGTGAAATCCGACACTTGCCATAGGGGACAGCACCACAAATGGACACCAATAATGTAATGCACTGCACCTAATTTGTACTATAGAGCCGTATGCATCCCGAACAGATCGAAAGGTCACAGCGTAGATACACACAGTTCACAAATATGGTACACATAAGGAGTATTGGTATCCAATCCCCATTCATTTTTGCCAGCACCTTTTGAACCTTGACTGTGATGAGTACGAGTTTTGTCATCAGACAGATAAAGTTGTATGTAACACATGTACTGTACGTATGCAGGGCTACAGGGGCTGCAGACTGCATGGTGCAGTCCCTTATGCCAAGTGTCGGATTTCACTTGCCACAACTGTATATTATAAGCACAGCCTCTGTGCTACGCTTACGAGTCCACAGTGGACGAAACAGTTTCGCCCGCAGATTGAGTAAATTACAGGTTATGTATGCAGCATTTGCAACAAATACATGATACTGGTTCAGAGTGGTGTGAGCCGTGGTGTTCACACAATATTTGGGAGAATGATGCTCGGGGGGGGGGGGGGGGGGGGGTTAGTTGCTGGCAAATAGAAAACTGCTGACCTAGTTGAAGGCCAAACTTGTTGCTCTCCCCTCCAAACTAGGTGCATGTCAAACAAAACCCATCACTCACACACTTGGAAACGGTCAGCCAGGCGTAGATTTCCAGCCAGTAGCAACTGAACCTTATGTACTGGCCACGTACATTCATCGCCAAGAAGCCCTACCGTATGCATGGACTGGTAAACCTCCTAGGTGGTCGGAAATGGTGCTGCAGTAGCTCAAACGTCTCCTTTGAACTTAGCGGAAACTGGCAACTTCAGCCACGAGCCCTGCGCACCAGCCACTGTACTTGCACTTCTCCTTGTTTCCGGATCATCAAACGTTCACTGAACGCCGGCATCGCCAACCATCATCGCCAACCAGTTGCTGAAGAAGAGTAGACCTACTGGCTTCAGGTCGCGCTGCAAGTTCCGCAGAATCACCTTCTACAAGACAACCTGGACCATCCTCGGGTGACGACAACTCCCCCAACGTTCCAGACTGATATTGAGAGTCGGAGATTCTTGGAGAGTCCACACTTTCGGGCTGCCCTGAAGCGAATTCGCCGCCAGAGTCGACAGAATCGGGCACCGACACAGCTTCAGCGCTCGAAGAGTTGTCTGAACAACCGCTATCACGAGGCTTCGAAGAAGTCGCTGAAAACAAATCTCCAATTTTCATTTCGTGAAAGCACTTCACACATGTACCTGCCACACTGACAGAACTTGGAAATTGGTGGCGAAGAATAAAAAGAAAAAGGAACCAACCTGAAAGCTTTCGAAACAAGAAGACTGTGACTTTCCGACTTCGATTTCGACTCCGGTTTTGCTAGTGCAAAAAATGGGTGCGAATCTGCACTGCACCGGTGCTGCGCAGCACTGTTGCAATGTGGTTCACACAGCGAATGCGAACAGCGGTTCAAAGAAGTACAAGCCTATCCTCGAGCCTAACAAATTATGTACATAGACTAGATGTCCTACAATTCATTCAGATGTCCTACAATTCACAAGTCATGTAGATCCTGCGAACTCTTCTTCCGTCAACAGTAGACTCCACGCGTGAAGTCAGTGCCTGTAGACTTAGGGCGCGTTCGAGTTGTCTTCATCAACTGTTCAAACAAATTTTATAAAGAGATTAGTTGAAGTGTCCCATTAGAACGGTTTCTATCATTTTTAGAGTTTTTCAGTGGAATTGTCATGGCGATGATGACGTCCGATCAGATCGACCATCTCCACGTACTACGTGATGTAGCTATTCCAAACTCTTCGTAACTAATCCACCTCTCCCATCGGGTGAGGTTGTGGAGTTTCGAGGAGTTTCGAGGAGCTTTGTTTTTCTGAAGAGGCCAATAAGGCCACCTCTTCAGAAAAACGAAACTCCTCGAAACGTCAAAGAGTGACAATTCGAACGCGCCCTTATTATAATTATGCATGAACTGGCAGTAGTACAGACAGTGCATGTCCACATGTCCTGGCCAACCACATATGGATACCTGACTGCAAAGTATCCACTCTGGCTACACGCCTGGTGCGGGTGCACGAAAGTGACCGGCCCAACTGATCGCAATAAACTGCAATAAAGCCAAGAGACACAAACCACTGTGTACTGTGAGTACACTGCTGCTTAGTGAAATCTGGTCATTGAGCGAACCAATGTCACGCTGGGCCGCGCTGTGCGGCAGCCCTAGACCTACAAACACTGGCACGTGAACTAGTGCAGTTTGCACACTTGACTCACGCGATCGAATTATATTGAGCAGCCCTGCATGTTTGTAGACCGTATTTCGCCGATTATAAGTCGCACTCGATTATTGGTTGCACCCCCATTTTCAGGTTTGAGCAATATTGTTGCGATATATTCACTTCAGTAGTAAGTCATGCTCGATTGTAAGTCGCACCCCCTTTTTTACCCTGGATTTTAGGGCATGGATGCAGTGAATGGGATTTTAGGTCTTTGACCAATTTGTGGTGGGTCTGATCTACTCACCTCCCACCGCTTTAGGAGCTGCATCTGTGCCTTAGTCCTAGAGGGTGGTGGCGTTCCTACGGATGCGGAAAACTCGGCTTTCAGCCGAGTCTCACGCGAACCGTGAATGTTTTTAGGGCGAAAAGGTGCGACTTACATACTGAGATATTATTTGGGGAATACGGTAGTATAGACGGAGGTTCAGTGGGAATGATCTTTCGTCCAACTGTCTCTACTCTGAGTTTCATGCCCAAGCAATCACCACGAGACATACATGCGTAGTTGCTGTCAACTGTTCAGTGTCGAGATTCGTGCATGTGCAGACGTGAAATGATTGCTCCAAAGTTTCAATAGCAGCTGTGATGATTGCCTTGGCGTGAAACCTTTGAGGTACGACTTGTTCAAATCCAACTTTCCTCCTCCTCCTCCTCCTCCTCCTCCTCCTCCTCCTCTCTCTCTCTCTCTCTCTCTCTCTCTCTCTCTCTCTCTCTCTCTCTCTCTCTCTCTCTCTCTCTCTCTCTCTCTCTCTCTCTCTCTCTCTCTCTCTCTCTCTCTCTCTCTCTCTCTCTCTCTCTCTCTCTCTCTCTCTCTCTCTCTCTCTCTCTCTCTCTCTCTCTCTCTCTCTCTCTCTCTCTCTCTCTCTCTCTCTCTCTCTCTCTCTCTCTCTTCCCCTCTCCCTCTCTCCCTCTCCCTCTCCCTCTTTGCACATTCAGTTGGTAACAAGGTTGACTTGGAGGAGAGTAGTGGAGACGACATCACAGCATCTGCAGCATGTGAATTGGCTGTGGAGAAGGGGATTCCCCTGTTTAAAGCCAGCGCCAAGAGTAACCACAACGTTGAACATGTAAGCAGTTCCCCAGAGTACTGTATTTGCTTGTAACCGTAGACTGATGCGCGAGCTTAGATCAGACACACGGCCGGGAGTTGGGGTGAGGATTTGGATAGGGGTAATGGTCCACCTTTTTTGGTGACAGTCGAGCAATATTTTTGGATGCTTACAACTGTAATCTATGCTGTGTGACCTCAGTCACCTCCAGTACATACATAATATATATGTGTCCTGGTGTACGTGCTGCCTGGCGTGTGTCTTGTCGCGAGTATGCGGAAACAAGACTGACGGTGCAGTTCTGCGCCCATGCTCTGTAGAGCCACTGCCATGGCAACGTGTTCTGAACCCATGCTCTGTAGAGCCACTGCCATGGCAACGTGTTCTGCACCCATGCTCTGTAGAGCCACTGCCATGGCAATGTGTTCTCCACCCATGCTCTGTAGAGCCACTGCAATGGCAACGTGTTCTGTACCCATGCTCTGTAGAGCCACTGTCATGGCAATGTGTTCTGCACCTATGCTCTGTGCGCATGCTCTGTAGAGCCACTGTCGTGGCAACGTGTTGTTTTTGGTGATGCACAGGATGGACAAGTATTGCAACAGGTTGGAGTCTAAATGTATCCCCATACTCGGCCCATAGTGTCATTTGAAGCAGCTGAAGTATGTGTACCGTATTTTCCGGAGTATAGTGCACACCTTTGTATAACGCGCACCCACAATCTTCATTGGGGCTGCGCACTTCAATCTGCATTGAAGTACATGCTTTTCATATTCGGAGCATAGTGCGCACCTGCGATTTAGGGCCTAAAATAGCACATCTAAAGTGCGCACTATACTCGGGAAAATACGGTAGTTCCCATGGTAACTGGTACTGTCGAAGAGAATGAGAAAATGATGACAACATGAGGGGATAAAAAAATTAATGAGAAGAACGAAATGTTACGAGTTGTGACTAACTGTCCACCAACGTAACCAGATCATAATATATAATTATACAGTCCGCGAGTGCGACATTTTGTCCTTCTCCTTTTTTTTACCATAATTAACTTGGCTCACCATCCGAGTTCAACACGAGGGGATGTGCGTTATGTTTATAGACGTGTGACCCCCCTATCCACACATACCGTATTCTCCAGAGTACGAATACAAGCCGCATCATTTAAACACCAGTAATTCACCCAACTAGCCGGTGCTGCTGCTTTTACTACGATGATCAAATTTTAACGGTGATAAACGGGATTGATGTCTGTATTTCATGACAAAAAAACTGGGTACGGCTTATACTGCGGAGACTACCGTACTCTTCTTACGAATGCTTTGGAGACGGACCTGCGCGCCACAAGGGGTGCAGAAATCGGCACTCTACCGTGCAAAAAATTCCTTTTGTATGGTTGGTGTCATTGCGGCGCAGGTATTTGACGAGCTCATCCAGTCAATCCTGGACTGCAAGGCAGCACTGGGACAATCAGCCAGTAGGTCGTTTGAAAGCTCCATCGTGACGCTTCACGAGGATCCAGAGAATCAAGCTGATGTTTCGAATACTGTTCTTAGTATCTTGAGAAAGTGTCTTTGCTAGCTGTAAGGGTGTGATGCGCTTTGAACGCTACACCGCTACCATGGTTACCTGACACGCGAATGGAGAACATCAAGCAGCTGCTGCTGCTGGTGGTGGTGGAGCAGCTGCGGCTAGCAACCGGAGTGCGTCATCGTCATCCGCGGGAAGGAAGTGTCCTTGCTAATGTTAGCTGTACGGATGTGATGCGCGGGTGAGTCAGGACTTCTGATGCTTTGTCTGTCGTCATGGCTACGGTGATTGGCGGCGAGCCGTGTTGCTGCTGCTGCTGCTGCCACGGCACACGTAAGGTGAGGTCGGTGGCAAGGGCGGGATGCTCAACACTCGGCCTCCAGCCGAGTCTCACGCGCGAACCGTGAATTGTTTTCATAGTTTTCGTGATTTCTAGTGTATAGGATCTAGATACAGTCATGTACGCATCAGTGGTGACATGTCGCGTCCACATTCACGAACGCTTCAAAGTGCATGGGAATTTGATCACAATAGGCGACATGCAGGGTAGGTTGAGTGGAAAAGATGCTTTTGTTTTTGAAGCTGATAACAGTGTAGGGAATTGTGTGTTGCTCCCTACATCAATTATCGCCGAAGTCGAACCAAAATCTTCTTCACATGATAATATTGTAACCGGTATGATAATTATTCACTGATCACCGGACGAATGTGTCTGTTAGAAAGGAAATAAATAGTATTCACAAACAAGTCCCACTTATTGTTTCTGTTCGTAAAAGGAAATTGCAATTTTTTGGTCATATTGTTCGTTCCGGCTGTTTGTCATTGATTGTTCTTCAGGGTTGTGTTGCTGGAGGCCGTGGCCGAGGCAGGCCCAGAATGTCATGGCTTGATAATATTATTTCATGGACTGCACTTGACGTGCAGTCCCTGCTCGCTGCTGCACGCGATCGATTTTTATGGCGCACGCTTGTTCATACTTGCTCTGTGATGCCCCGACGGCCTTAGGGCTATGGGCTTGTGATGATGATGATGATGATGATGATGATGATTATTTATTATTATTATTTTTATTGTTACAACTGCCGACCCTCTAGCCGATCAATGCCTGATCATGCATACGCGCCCGTCGCAAGAGAAACACGCAAATCTGCGAATGTACTGGATGTGCGCCCACAACATATCTTCTCTTAAAGCAACGATGGCGGACAAGATCTGAATGAGACAGATCAAGACAAGCACACACACACACGCACACACACACTTGTTCTGACAGAATTAGTACGTCATAATGCTAGGCCACGAAGGCACACACGCCTAGCCAAAGCTTGGTAGTAATGAGGATACACATGTAAATTAATAATACAAAATAATGCCGGCATATTACACTATGGTGGTTTACAGCAGGGAAGTCAGCAAGTTCACCCCGCTATACCCCGCTATACCCCGCTATACCCCGCTATTCACTCAGTGAATGTGCAGAACAACATACAGTAAAACCTGTCAAGGAGACCACCTGCCCTAAAAGACCACCTGCCCTAAAAGACCACCTGCCCTAAAAGACCACCTGCCCTAAAAGACCACCTGCCCTAAAAGACCACCTGCCCTAAAAGACCACCTGCCCTAAAAGACCACCTGCCCTAAAAGACCACCTGCCCTAAAAGACCACCTGCCCTAAAAGACCACCTGCCCTAAAAGACCACCTGCCCTAAAAGACCACCTGCCCTAAAAGACCACCTGCCCTAAAAGACCACCTGCCCTAAAAGACCACCTGCCCTAAAAGACCACCTGCCCTAAAAGACCACCTGCCCTAAAAGACCACTGAAACCAAGACCAAGGGATGTTATTTCCAGTCAAATGACCCTGGATAAGGCGACCACCTGGTAACAGAGACCACATTTTGAAGGTCCCTTGAGCGGTCGTCTTAGACAGGTTTCAATGTATTTAGAAAGTGTTTTGTGGTCAATGTAGGATCGGCACTTCGGAAGTGAATCTCAGTCAGGAATATTACTGTGATTAGTTGTGTAGACTGGTTTTGGCAATTTGCAGTTTCTTCCAATCGTACACTGTAATACATGTAATCAGTGGATGAGGCGGGTACTCCGACTAAGGCAAGATGCGAGTGCACATCTCTGTGTACACACACTGAGAGCTAACAGTTTTAAAAGGTGAGAGTTCTTTAAAAGGGGTAAAATAAATTTCACGGTTCGCGTTAGACTCGGCTGAAAGCCGAGTTTTCCGCATCCGCCGTGGGAACTCCACCTCCCTCTAGGATCAAGGCGCAGACGCAGCGCCTAAACGGTGGGAGGTGAGTAGATCAGACCCACCACCAAGTGGTCAAAGACCGAAATCCCATTAGCTGCATCCAAAAAAAGGATATGGGGTGGAAATTTGCAAACTTCAAATCTTGTTCTAATGGTACGCTTTAATGAGGGTCAAGTTTAAAGTTCAAACCTTATCAAATAAATCTGCATGTAGTGTTGGTTGCTGTTGGTTGGCACTAGTTCTGTAGAACATAGAGAGAATGCCAAACTACTAGCGATCAACTACTGGAATGGACTCGGATGGAGAGCCAAGGGTTAATTTATAGAATGTTATCGCACGAGCTGATTGTTTAGTAACTGGTGGTGTTAGTTAGCCCTTGGCGGATTATGCCGGCATAATATTTGGCATAATCTTGGGATTTCGTCAAAAAATTATGCTCCGGCATAATAATATACGGATTCCAACATGTAAGGTCGGCATAATCTTTCGGTTATCACTCCCCCCTCACGTGACCGCGGACTCCTGCATATACACTCACACAATAACCACGCAACTGTTTGGGGATAGCGCGCTTATTGTATTATGCCAAACTTGACACGCTGAGTCCAGCTTGACTCAGCTGAGTCCCTAACTGCAATTTACTGCTTTAACATGAAGCCGTGCCTGGAAGAAGGGAAAGAGCGAAAAAAGAAAAAAAATTCTGGCCTTCTGCAAGCAATAGCAAGTAATGAGTGACGGCTGTGTAAAGTCGCACAACCATGCAGTCGACCGGATGATGGTGAGTGTCCGGCACACATCTTGCTCTGCTGCCTCCTTGATGCGCCACGGAGTGCCGTCAAAGCACCCGTATCACTTCGGTGATCCAAATGCGAATGCAGCCTTGCCGGTCGCCCGCCGGCCTGCCGCCTACGCGACCAGCCTGAGACTGGCCCTGCCGCATTTGGCGCTTCTAAACGCTGCGATCCGGTAGACAGCTCACTGGGCTGCCAAATACGTGACTGGCTTGAGGACAGTTCCATACTGGGCAGGGCGCCCAGCTCAGGTCGCACGCCGTAGCGGCGTGAGCTGGGCGCGGTGAGGGTTGGTGATAACTACAGTTTCCTCCTTCCTCCTCCGGAAACTTCCATTTTAGACAAAAATTATGCTTAGGGGCATAATACAGCTTTGTCAGAAAGCCTGCAGATGTTTTTTTTAAATTTTTTTTTAAATACCCCAGTTACGACTCCTTGTCATAGCCCTTGGCGGATTATGCCGGCATAATACAGGTCGTCCCCCGTTAATACGAGTCCGGTTAGTACATAAACCCCGTTAGTACATAAGAAATCTCAAGTCCCGGACGAAACGTGGTCACTTCCATACAAATTGTGTCGGTTAGTACATACTGTATAGCGAGGAAAAGCGCGAGTGTGCACTAGTTTTACAGTCCTGATAAAGTGCCTGAGACCTAAGGTCCAAGAGTGCACCAAGGTACACAGTCGTACAGCAACTCGCCGCATACTCCACATGGTCCATGGCGTACGACATGAACACAGGGGCCCCGGACCTCGCCCGCATTGCTTGTTTCGAATACGGGCCGCGGCGGCTGTTCAAGGAAATACGGTACATAAACCCCGTTAGTACATAAGAAATCTCAAGTCCCGGACGAAACGTGGTCACTTCCATACAAATTGTGTCGGTTAGTACATACTGTATAGCAGGAAATTTTCGGACGGAATTTATTTTCGTACAATTTCGTACACGGCCTCTTTTGTACTAACAGTAATTCCGTACTAAAATTTGTTCCTGTGGAGTCATGTACACTATACATGCGTACCGCATGAGAACACGTGCATTTAGCATGTAGCACCGTACGAAAATAAAATCCGTACGAAAGGTCGAAATTCGGCTTTGTCCGAAAATATTTCCGTCCGAAAATTTCCTGCTATACAGTAATTCGTTAGTACATAAACCCCGTTAGTACATAACATTTCTCCGGACCCACATGCCACCTACCTCAATAGTACATAATTGTTGGTCTTTTTGGGCTTCCAGTGGAGGCACATCGTGTTCTAGTTTCTACTGGTGGACGCAATTAGCTCAGAAATCAGAGCGGACATCACAAACTGACAAAGCTCTGTTTTTCCCCGAGTGACTGTACAGGCATGGCGACTGGGCAGGTATCATGTAAAATGTCTGGTCTTACAGTAAAACTGTAGAATCTTCGCTGACTGTGACCGTTATAACATAATTTTTATGTTATATCGAGGGAATCAAGAATATCTCGCTCCCTAGTCATGGCAGCAAGAAACACTCTGAAAAGTTGAAAAAAGTGAAAAATTCTGATACACAAGTAAGATATGTACACTTTCGTTTAGTACATAAACCCCGTTAATACATAACATTTGTCAAGTCCCAGAGATTATGTATTAACGAGGGACGACCTGTATTTGGCATAATCTTGGGATTTCGTCAAAAAATTATGCTCCGGCATATTAACGGATTCCAACGTGTAACGTCGGCATAATCTTTCGGTTTAGACAAAAATTATGCTTAGGGCATGGCCGTGTGTGTATGTGTTGTGAACCCTCTGGTTCTCTAAAGTATCAGGAACGAACGACCCCACACGGCACGAGGACAACTATTTATTCTCAACAGTATATTTCACTTCCATCGACTAATAACAATGAACAATGAATGAATGTAATGAACAACTGAATCAATGAAACTAACACTAAAACCACCAGGTAGTTATAGCGTGAAAATGACAGCGTATATGAGAAAAGCATACACATACAACATACAACTACAGCGCACACAGCAAACCGCACATAGCGCCTGTAGCGTATGCCACGTCGTAAACATCAGCGGTACGGCGGAGTCGGGATACAACTGCATTGGAACGAACACAATGTCACAAGCGAGAAGGCCTTTCACTCTCGAGAACTTGTGGTTTCACAACATTCTCCCCGCCAAAGGGCTTCTCACCGCCGTACAAACTCACAAGTCAAACGATTCGGGGCTTACTACGCGTCATCTGCTGCTGCGGTGGTGGCCATGGTAGAATATCACTAATGCCCACCAATTCAGAAAACTCGACATCGCGAAGCTTGCCGCTGTGGACTGTCGCACACGACACTGTCACCGATCCACTTCGACATGGGGCAGACGCTGGACCAGACAACACACAACCGATAATGTCATAAAGCTCGACGATGTGGGCTGTCACACACGACATGGTCAACGGTACACTGCTTCGACCCGGGGCGGGCGCGGAATCCGAGGACACACATCGGATCTCTGTGTTCCACACAGTCTCGCCGCTTACTTCTTCCGTGCTAACCAGTAGCATCGCCCTTCTCATGTTCTCGGCTTCTACGCCTTGCGTTTCTAACTCTTGCGCCTCTAACTCTTGCGCCTCCAACTCTTGCGCCTCCAACTCTTGCGCCTCCAACTCTTGCGCCTCCAACTCTTGCGCCTCCAACTCTTGCGCCTCCAACTCTTGCGCCTCCAACTCTTGCGCCTCCAACTCTTGCGCCTCCAACTCGTTCGGCCGAGA